CCACCGCTGCCGGCGGCCAGGGCGGCGGCCCTCAGGTGGAACCGACCGCCGGTGGCGCCCTGGGTGGCGCTGGTCAGGTGGGGTCGGCCTTCAACGGCGGTCAGGGTGGCGCCTGTCGGGCGGAAGCGACCTCTGGTGATGAACTGGATGGCGCTGGTCATAATCCGGACGCTGGCCGAGATCAGGGCAGCACCGATCTTGCGGAGCCAGCTCCTGAACCTGGTCAGGGCAGCTCCAGTCAGACGGAGCCGACCATTGGTAGTCTGGGCAACGCTGGCCAGGAGCTGCGAACGCTGTCGGAGGCCGGGGCAGCACCGGTCAGAAGGAGAAGTCGGCCGAAGTTGACGGTTACATGATCGCCGTTTCTACCCACGGTGAACAGAGCGCTCCCGAACAGAACGGCGTGACCGATGGCAATGACGAGAGCACCGACGACGGCCGGAGCAGCGGCGTCTAGCCGCTTCCGGACGTGCGTGCGTGCGCGCGCGAGTACGAGCATGCGTGCGTGCGTGTGTGCGTGCATGCGTGTGCGCGTGCGTGGGCGCGTGTGTGGAATGTGTGTGTCGAACACGAAAATGTGCACGACTCACGCTGCATGCTGCGTGTGTGTGCGGGTGTGCGTGTGCGTGTGCGTGTGCGTGTGCGTGTGCGTGTGCGTGTGTGGGTGTGGGTGTGGGTGGGTGTGGGTGGTGTGTTCCCGAATGCCGCTGCACGTTTCATCACGGAGCGCGTATGAGCTGGCGTGCAGATTGTCATTGCGGAACGATTTGCACAACTAGCGGCCTGGGACATTGCCGTCCGATTCGAGAGCGGAACCGGGACTGGGCGGGACATCCGGCTTGGCCATTCTGTGGTCCATGGCTTCAAGCTCCCCTTTTCAGGGATTTCTGGGATCCACTGGCACTGACCCGTGCTTTCGGACAAGTGCAGCTTTACTGCTGGCTGGGGATTGTTGTGCAAGGGTGGAAATTAAAGGGACAATATGATCCCAAAAGTCTAGTTTGATGATGAATGCAGTGAGATAACTGATGGTGAGTTGAGCTGGGACTGCTGTTTTGCTTGCCTCAAACAGACGATCAGTCGTGGATAAGTTTTTGACTTTTATGATGCTTTTCAATTTTTCTCTGACTGCACCACACATGTTATACCATGGACATCAACACGAGTGAGCTATGGTGCCACTCTTGCTTCACTTTGACAGGATCTCGCGCACAGAAAAGGCACAAATTGAAAACCCCCGTTATTTTTTGTTTCATCCCAAACCAGCTTGGGCATCCATGACATTGTTGGCGCGGGGTTATCGATGCGCAGGTCGTCCAAAACCCGATGTTTGATAGGTTTTGGTCCCTTTCATGGGCAGATGTAAATACATGTAAGCATTTGTATCAATAGTGCCTCGCACAAGTGTCGTTTGGTGACCGTTTATCTTCATCTTATGCTTCGCGAATCTAATAACACAAGAAGTGAGCTCTCGTGCACACATAAAATGTCGTCGTGAGCTAATTAAGGCCGTCTTCTATCGCCTGGGCCCCACTCGGTAACTGTCCGCTTTGGAGAAGTATTCTGTGCGACACGCCGTCACCAGCATTCCGTCGTTCAGCCTTCACCCGGACGGCGCGGCACTTGCTCACTTCTGCCTCACATTCGGCGCACGTGGTCACGCCGCTCCTCACACAGATTCGCTTGATTTGTGACCGCCGGGCAGGGATCGGTGTAATCCACCTTGAAGCTCACGGCCGTGCTCAAAAGCACCTTTCAGCGACGCAGGCTCTTGTCTCAAGAGACCAGTTGTCTCGCAAACGGGCCCACGTTGGGCCCGTCTTCTGCACACATTCCATAGGTGCACGGGCGGCCGCGCGGCAGCTCGCGCCCCTTTAGCGGGGCGGGTCGCGACCTGATCTCAGAGTCATGCCGCTGTGGCGCGATCTCGGCGTGCTGGCTGCTCTTTGTCGCGACGCACTGCGAGCGATAGCCCTGGATTGGGCCTCGGAGGCGTCTGCATCGGGCTAAGGATGGAAGAGACCGGCCATGATGTACGCCGGTGTCCCATACAAATGTGTGTAGGCAGGACGCATGTGGCGTTCGCGGGTCACAGCAGTCAACTGTCACTCCCCGCTTCGGGCTGGCATATTATTTGACTTGAGCGTGGGTCGGTGGTTGTGCCGTAGCACTTATAGCTTCATTTACAATATTCGTCTTGGGATTTCTGGGTGTTTGAGGGCGTCCGGCGGAACGCCGGTAGGCAGCATTCCACGAGGCCTTCGAAATGAGTTCATCGAGTCACAGTGCCGTAGTGCCTGCAGCAGTTATTACACCCGAA